GTCCTTAAAGACTTCAGGCCAGGGTGGTTTTGGCTTTGTGCAAACTTGAGTTCTGGATCATTTTTCTAGTATAGCCAACAGACTTTTCTTCATATCTCTGTCGTCCAGTTGTCTAATCTGGAGCATAGGATGCCTCAGAGTTGCCTGCTATTTTATCTCATGGTTTGTAGGGAAAAGAAAGCTAAGAATTATTGTGAATATATTAGAAGTTTCTGAAGAAGGTAGTCTATGAATTTCCTAGAACCAACCTCCCTCGCTTCCTTCTAAATGTAGTTGTTATTGTTAAGTGCTGTCAAGTTGGTTCTGACTCGTAGTGATCTTTGTATAGGGGTTCCGAGGCTTAAATCTTCATGGGAGCAGAAAGTCTCATCTTTTTCCTATTTAAATGTAGTAAACAAAGTTAATATAGTTCCCAATAACTATGTTTCCCAATGACTTCCATCAAATGGTAAGAGAGCTATGTATAATGCATAGTTGTATGGAGTATTTATATAATCAACAAAATCAAGCTTTAGAAGAAATATGTGAGTAGTGTATAATCCCGTGTATTTGGCCTCTCATGGATTAAACATTACTTTCTGTGTAAGTTGTATGCCTTTCATTTCCTCATTTGTCTGCACTTGTCTTCTAAAACTTGGTTTTTCCTTCACTGAGTTTGAGCCATAGGAATACTGCATCACATTGAAGTAGTAGACTTCATTTTAGCAGGATTATTAACTTTCCTATTTGTGGCACTGTAGGATAAGCACTAGACTGCAAATCACAAGGTCCATGGTTCAAATCCACCAGCTGCTCCTTGGAAACCCCATACAGAGCCATTACGAGTCAAAGCCAACTCCAAGGCACTTCACAATAAATAAAAAAAAATTCAGACTTGAGAAATTAATACTCAGAAAGGTTAAAGGGTTTGATCCAAACATGCAGTCCTTTCAGATCTCCTCCCAGTCAACGATTTCCTTTCCCTTCCTGGGAATTCACAATATGGAGCTAGCCTTTGGCTTGATTCCTGAAGCCTGTTCCAGAAGAGAAATGGATGTCGATGCTCCACCTCCTTGAAAAAGGGTGTGTGCCAGTAAACCAGGCCCATGGATTTCCTCAGTTTACCACTGGCAGTGGTAGGATTAATAAAGGAATGAAATACTCTTGAATCCAGGTAGTCTCTGTGAAGGTGGACAAAACTGACCTTCACCTCAGAGAGGTTGGGGCATCTTGGAATAGGAAACTAACTCTTTCCTCTTTGGAAACAAAAAACCTGCTCATTTGACCTCCATCTCCTGGGAGCCAGAGTTATGAATTCAATAAGACTTTTGTGGGTTCTTGGTACTTTCGTATTCATGAGCCTTTTCTTTCATAAAAATACACAACTGCATCGATGTAAAGACAAGTGTTTTGTGTTAATATTGCATTGTGGTTAGGTGCTTACAGGCATTTAGTGGGTCGAAAGGCCAGAGATGCTGCTAAACATCCTACAATGTATAAGACAGCACCCCCACTACAAATTAGCCAACCCAAAATGTCGCTAGTGCTAAGGTTGAGAGAGCCTGCTCCAAAAGGTTAAGGTGAGTGGAACCTTCTCAGATAGGTTGAAACCTGGGTCACCTTTCTCGTCTTTAACCAGAGAATGTGTAATTATAGCCACAGTGGAGGCAGACTTAGTCCAAACTTCAGGGCAGGCAGACAAGCTTCAGGGCAGGCAGATAAGTGAGCTTTGAGAGTCTGACAGACTTCCTGTCTGCAGACAGATGGTCCCAGATCCTTGGGGCATTCCATCTTCTGTACTGTGTGAGTGAAACACGGGGTCTCAGGAACTGTAGAGTAGCAATTCTAAGGGCTCCAGGAATGCTTCTTGCTTCTGGCCTAAAGCCAGATGGGCCTGGCGCACTGAGAGTGGAGGGCCGGAGGTCCTGTCCAAGGGCGGTCACAGGGAGAAAGGGAGTTGAGTGTGGATCCCTGGATGGTCTCAATTTGTCTTTACCAGTTTGATCCAGGGTAGTTTGAAGAGTTTTTCCTCTACAGCCTGATGCAACAGGGAAAGAACAGGCCTTCCTAGCTCTCTTGCTTGTCTTCTCTGCTCTGTGCTCCTTGAACAAGTTAGTAACTACAGGGACAAGCCGGGGGAAGGGGGAGCTTGGGACTGCCCACCACAGGTCTAGGTGCACAGAGACCTATTAGGGATGGGACACAGTAACAGATGGAGCTGACTGGAGATGGAGGAGGTGAGAATGTGAGTGAGTCTCCCCTCTGCTTGTCAACATCTGCATTATGCTTTGAAGGTTAGTTTGAAGGAAATGGAGGATTATCTGCACCTGATCTCTCCTGTTTGCTTGGGCTTATCTCAGAGTTTCCCAAGCCCTTCCCTCTCATGCCCCTGTCCTCCACCTCTGGTGTCCATCTGAAGAGAGAATGGGGGATCTCTGTGAGGGCCCCAGCTGCCTGACTCTGTCCCAGCGGGTGGTCCCATGAAGCAGCAGGGTAGGGGGTGACTCAGATCCCAATTCCAGGGAAAGTTGGCAGGCAGCTGAGCATAGAGAGTGCAGAATCTTTCTCGTGGGGTGCCTGGGTGTCTGCTACACTCAGCGTGCACAGGAAGAGGGAAGAGAGATTGAACCAAGGGAACAGGACCACCACTCAACCTGGAAGCAAACCATCCAAATCTGTGGTGGCCATGGGGTTGCTGAGCTCAGGCAAGAATCCATCTGTGCTTGACCACATTTGGTGGTGTAAATGTATAATGTACCCCATTGATGGCTGAGAAACTGAAAGTTCAAGCCCATCTAGAGGCACCTCAGAAGGGCCTAGTGATCTCCTTTGGATAAATGAGTCACTGAAAACCCTTTGGAACACCGTTCTGTTCTGGTGCTCGTGACGCTGCCCAACCACGGCAAAGTGTTGGTTTTCGGTGTTTGTTATACTGTGGTGTGAAGTCCTGGTGTGGTGCTGTAGGATAAGCACTGGACTGCAAGGTTGGTTTGAACCACAAGGTTGGTGGTTCAAATCCACTAGCTGCTCCTTGGAAACCCTATACAAGGTAGCTGTGAGTCAGAACCAGCTCAACAGCACTTAGCAGCAACAACATATTTATGGCGAAATCTAGATTGCCACTAGGCCCTGGGGCAATAGCCATTCTCTGTTCTAGCTAGTGAGAACCAACCGCTTGCCATTAGAGCCCAGCGGGAAGGGATGGAATGGGGGCAATTGTTAACTGAAGCCTCCCTGGTGTCCCATCAGTCCCAGGCAGAGCGCTGGACGCTCTGTGAGAGCAAGTGTTGCTATATAGCTCCAGGACTCAGTGCATCCTGGCATAGAAGAGGTGCCCCTTCTCATAGCTAGCCAGCGAGTGGACACTACAGCTTACAAGCACCTTGAGGTGGGCATCATAGCCCCTGTTTTATTGCCATGGGCTTTTGCATTCACTATACTGTCTCTGAAATCTGAAGGGTCAGCAAAATATGAGGCCCCTTCCCTTCCCTCAAGCTTTTGTGTAGAAACATTTTTAAAGCCATTCTTCTGTGTTATTGGAACTGTAAGCTCTTGAAGGTGCATCAAAGGGAAGACAACATGCACAAGATTTGTTTAAAAGCATACCCTCCATACCTACCCAGAGCTTGTTGGCACCTGCAGGGAACTGCTTTGGGCTCTGCTGTATCTACAAAGGGAGGGGGCTGGGTTGAGATTCACTGTCCTTCTAGAACTTGCTGAGACTTGTCTCCCTGGAAACTCTAGGATGTGACAACTCCACCATAGCATTCTGTCCCGCTGACTGGGCATGTCTCAGCCCAAAGTGAGACCAGGGCAGCTGGGGCTACCTCAGGGTCTTCACCAAGGCTGCACATACAACAGGAATCTTTTCCTTGTGTTGACTTACTTGTGGTTTAAGAAAGACTAAAGAGACTTAAAGGACTGCTGATGGTGTAGTAGATTACGAGCGTTTAACGGCAACGTCAGTAGTTTGAATCTATCAGTTACTTTGTGGGAAAAGATGAGGCTTTCTGCTCCTCTAAAGCCTGACAGCCTCAGAACCCCTGTACAAGGTGGCTGTGAGTCAGAGCTGACTTGGTGACATACCACCACCAAAGAGACTTAGGAGTCACTCACTGGGTGTTGCAAACCGTTAACATGCTTGGCTGCGAAACCAAAGGTTGGAGGTTTGAGCCCACCCACAGGCCCCCTGGAAGAGTGGCCTTATGGTCTACTTCTGAAACACAGCCGTGAAACCCTACGGAGCACATTCCTACTCTGACACATAATGGGGCCACCGTGAGTCAGAGCAGACTCCGGGGTAGTTGATTTAAGGAGATTTAATGGATGTTTGTGGGACAAATATCTGAGACTTAGGCCCCATGATAACAAAGTTGAGGTGGTCCAAGTTCTTGATTTTGGGGTGCTTGGTGTAATGAGATGTAAACAAGTCCAGTCAATGCAGACATGCTATAGCAGCCATTGGAGCAAAGCACTGTGGGGACTCTGGAGGCTGCTGGGATGGCAGGTGAAGAGCAGGAAGGCAATGCAGCAGAGCATGCTGGAAGCTGGGTGGCAACATGGCTTCCATTTCTCCCCACCAGATGTGCACGACTCAGTGATCTCTGCAGCAGCGTGCAACTTACTTGCACCTTCTTAGACCATAAATGATGACGAACTTAAAGTGGGGTTAGGGGATTCTGGGAGATCATTCTAGAGAAAAATGGTAGACCTCTAAATGGACTGAGTCCCATTGCTCCTCTGCTGTGCTTTGGCTCCAAGGTTGACAAGGATAGAGTGGGTGTTTGAGCCATTCTTTTGGCATCAAGAGTCTAGGTTTAAATCCTGGATTTAGCAGATCTGTGACTTAGCCTGTGAGCATCAGTGTCTCTTATCTGTAAAAACTGGGGGAGGGAGCTGATAGTACTCACTGAAGAATTCATGGGAAATTTGAAAGAGGTAACCTACGGGTCACAGTAAGGCTCATTCGGGTCAGACAGCAGCTGGAACCTGGACCTCCCTTCTTCCCTTCTTCTTTACAGACAATGATGATGAGCACTCTGAGGGAGACCTGGTTGAGAACCATGTAGACGGGACCATGAACATGCTGGTCGTTGGAGGCACTGCTAACCGGAAGCCCCTCAAGTCAGGCATGAAGGAGCTGGCTGTGTTCCGGGAGAAGGTGACCGAGCAGCACCGGCAAATGGGCAAAGGTAGCAAGCATCACGTTGGCCTGGAGGAGCCCAAGAAGCTGCGGCCACCACCTGCCAGGGTCAGTAGGACAGGACTGGCTGGAGGGGTTGGGAAAAAGTGGAAAGGGGGGTTCCCAGCTGGAGGAAGGCATTTCAGTAAGATCTATATCCTGTGTTACTTAGAGTCAAAGAAAGCACTTTAGTCCCAGCTCTGACACCAACATATTCTTTGACTTTTAGTTCATTCGCTTAGCTTCTGAGACCTCAGTATCTCAGGCTGTTTGACTCTGGACCACAGACAAAATGGGTCCCGTACATGCAGATGGATTCACTTAGACTTGCTCACTCATAATAGGATTAACTCCACACACTCACTACTCACTGTCTGCTGTCTTGGGTCTTGGCACTAGCTGGGTTTATGGAAAAGAAGGGAGGTCTGGGGTCTAGATACTTGGAGAGAGAACCACTTGAATTCAGTATTTACAAGTAAACCCCATTTGACCCATCAGAGCCTTTGCCACAAAGCCAGAAGGGGAGGAAAGCTCCAATCCTTCTGACAGCGTTTGATAGTCTAGTCACTGGGCAAGTCCTGGGACAACCAACTTTTCCTAGGGTGGAGAGTCTTCTTGAGGTTGTGCCAGTGTTCTGATGCCCATCATTCTCACTGACCACCGCTGTGTCCCCTGCAGACTCCCTGCCAGCAGGAGCTGGACCAAGTCTTGGAGCGGATCTCCACCATGCGCCTGCCCGATGAGAGAGGTCCGCTGGAACACCTCTACTCCTTGCACATCCCCAACTGCAACAAACATGGCCTATACAACCTCAAACAGGCAAGTGGAGTCCCTTCTTCCCACCTCACCCATTGAAGGTTGGACAGTTATGTAGGAATCCTTGGGGTGCAGATTGCCAGGCAGGGAGGCTGGAGCTCTAGCTCTGGCCAAGGTGGGTCCCAGCTGACCCCACTTATCCAGCTACCCTTGGTATCAGGGTGCAGAGGGAGCCTGCTGGAGAAGAGAAGTGGGCTTAAACCAGGCTTAAACCTTTTATCTGCCAAAATTTATAAAATCATACATTGCCCATACCAAATATCAACTTAAAAATTTGCCTGTTGAATTTAGTCAAACATTTAATTAACTCACTCCTAATATGATGGAGTCCTGGTGTGGCGCTGTGGGTTAATGTGCCAGACTGCAAAGCTGTTCGAACTGCAAGGTCGGTGGTTCAAGCTCACCAGCTGCTCCTTGGAAACCCTATACAAGGTCGCTAAGTGTTGCAACCGACTCGATGGCACTTAACAACAACAACAACAACAATATGATGGAGTCCTGGTGTGGCATTGTGTGTTAATGCAATGCGCTAGACTTCGAAGTTGGTTTCAACTTCAAGGTCGGCAGTTCAAGCTCACCAACTGCTCCTTGAAAACCCTATATAGACTCGCAATGAGTTGGAACTGATTCCATAGCACTTAACAACAGCAACATGATGGCTGGATCTGCGGTTGCCTTGATAGGGCCAGACCCCGAGGGGCAGATGTTCCCCACTCTGGTTAAACCAAAGCTTCTCAAATTTGATTGAGGATTAGTCACCTGAAGGTGACTCTGGAGTCCCACTCCTAGAGATTTATAGTAGGTCTGGGCTTGGATGGAGGAAGCTACGTTTCCCACAAGCTCCCAGGGAATGCTGATGGAGCACACTTTGGGAAGCCCTGATTGAAGCCATCGACAAGAGTTGCTTCTCTGGTTTTCAAGTATCTCAACAATGGTGATTGTTCAGTGCTTTCCAGTCATAGGGACATTGTACAGGGTTTCCAAGGAGCAGTTGATGAGTTTGAACCACCGACTTTGTTGTTCAAACTGACCTTGTGGTCCAGTGCTTTTCCTTCAGCGTCACACCAGGATTCCCCAATGTTGTTAAGTGCTGTCGGGTCGGGTCCGACTCATAGTGACCCCGTATAGGGTTTCCAAGAAGTGACTGGTGAGTTGGACCATCAACCTTGTGGGTCAAACTGACTTCGTAGTCCAGCACATTAACAAACAGTGCCACACCAGGACTCAATAGTCAAAAAAGTCTTTTGCTAATCACTGTGGTCCTTGGGCCCTATCAGCCTTGTGTTGAGTTGTTAACAATTCAGAGTTTGGAGCTGCTGGGATTCGGAATGAAAACCTGCATTTTAAAACCCTCCTGTTTTAGAAACCCTATGCGAGCTGAGCAAGCTGTCTGTCTGATGCTCCAGACCCATCTACCATAGGGAGGGAGAGACGGAGGGAGGGAGGGAAGAAGGAAGGAAGGAAAGGAGGAAGTAAGAGAGGGAGGGAGGAAGGAAAGGAGGAAGTAAGAGAGGGAGGGAGGAAGGGAAGGAGGAAGGAAAGGAGGAAGTAAGAGAGGGAGGGAGGAAGGAAAGAAGGAAGGAAGGGAGGGAGTGAGGAAGGAAAGCTGGGGGCTACGTGAAGCTTCACTTTGTCTTCTCTCTCTTCAGTGCAAGATGTCTCTGAATGGACAGCGTGGAGAATGCTGGTGTGTGAACCCCAACACCGGGAAGGTGATCCAGGGTGCCCCCACCATTCGGGGCGACCCCGAGTGCCATCTCTTTTACAACGAGCAGCAGGAGGCCCTTGGGGCCCAGGCTCAGTGAAGGCAGTAATCCCCAGTCAGCCGGTGCTTGGCACCCCCCTTCCCCAAAACACCCACAAGAAAGGAGAGTGCTGGGTGGTGGGTGGGGAGGATCCTCCAGGAGTTTTAACACATGTATTTATATTTGGAAAGAGACCAGCACCGAGCTAGATGCCCACCCTGGCCTCCCCCTCTCCAGCTGGAGATGCTCCCCCTCTCCTTTCCCAACTCTCCTCTGGTGAGGAAGGGGGTGGTGGTTATGAGGGAGCTGGGATAAAATTTGAGGGAGGGGGAAGAAATTTTTATTTTTGAACCCCTGTGTCTCTATTAAAGGAAGGAAAAATAAAGTGTGTGTGTTCTGCCTGAGTCTTTGGGGCCTCCCTGCCCATCCTCCACATCTTCTCCGTGTGCTGCTCGCCTGGATTTGAAAGAGACCAGACAGTCTCCATGCACACATTTTGCCCTAACTTCTGTGCTAGCCTTCCCTGGTCTCCTGTCTCCTCTTCATAACATGGAGTACAAAAGGTGGGGCAGGAGGTAGGGGCTTCTCTTCCCAGGAGTAAAGTTGGTAAATTCTCAATCCACAACTCACCCCAGACGCTGTCCTAGGAGTCTGGGTGTCCCAGGCTGGACACAGCTGAGGCATCTACCTCCCCTACAGCCCTGCCTGGCAGGTTAAAGGGAACAGATGGTCTTGGGATGTGGGGAGGAAGGAAGGAGGAGCGAATGGTTGCTTATCTACCTCTCTCACATACAAGGAATAAGAGGAAAGTGAAAATTGCAGAATAGAAATTGTCTGCTGCCCCCCACCCCAAAATATAGGAGACAGCTCTCTTCCCAGCTGAGACATTTCAACTCCCTTCCAAGGGGATCATTGTATTCACAAAGGTGTTAGAGAATTCAGACCCTAATGTAAACTGGTGTTAACAAAGGTCTGAATCTCAAAGGAGTTGACAGGTAAGGTTTATTTTGAGCTGTTGTTCTATATGCATATAAAAACATCCTGCAAATGGCTCCAAGTAGGTTTAAGAGCCCAGAAGAAGAGGGGCTCAACCTCCACTGATTGACTCCTGCACCCCCATTTTATACTCAGATCAACTGAAAAACTGTTTCCAGGTGGCCTCTGTTGTTACATGCCCTTGAGTCAGTTCCAGTTCCTGGCCACCCTGTACAGGGTTTCCAAGGAGCGGCTGGTAAGTTTGAACCGCCGACTTCTTGGTTCAAAATGACCTTGTGGTCTAGTGCTTATCCTAAAGCACCACACTATCTTTTGAAATTAAAAATTTTTTTAATATTTAAAATATTTTTATTAGCTTTTTCTAATTTCTAATTTAATTAGCTTTTTCTAATTTCTTACATTTTTGTTTCACATATAAGGTAGGATACAACAGATGTAAATAATTGTTGGTTTGTACACATTTCAATAGAACATAATGCATATTCTTGATACAAAAACAGTGCTGTATTCTCTAAAAGCAGATACTGAGAAAGATAAAAGTTAGCTAACACCATTTGATTGGTCACTTGAGCATTTAGAGAGGAAAAATTACATGCAACTTTTTAGGAAGCTAAATACTGCTGAAGTTGTTTAAAATTCCAGAGGAAATAGTTAATGAACGTGCAAATGTTGATTACAATTTTATAGAAATCCACAGAAATAAGGGTCTTCCTTTGTGTAAGAATTCAATAATCTTCATATTATAGGGGAAAAAAAGAGACTTAATCCCTCATATTTCTTGGTTAACAATTGTTGTTGTTAAGTGCCATCGAGTTGATTCCGACCCATACCAACACTGTATAGGGTTTCCAAGAAGTGACTGCTGAGCTTGGACCATCAACCTTGTGGGTCAAACTGACTTCGTAGTCCAGCACATTAACAAACAGTGCCACACCAGGACTCAATAGTCAAAAAAGTCTTTTG